CTTGCCAGTGAACTGCAACACTGCACAACAGTTAATGGAAGGAAGCAAAGAACCCTGTCGTATCCATTTGCAGTGGTTGGGGAAACACAGAGGAACAGAATGTGATTAGCCAGGTTGGAATTTGGCCAGGGCAATGGAGATAATGGTTCTTCATGAAAGGTGCCAAAGGGTATTTCATGAACACATCTGTTCAGGTCTGAAGGTTTACAGTTCAAATCAGCTGGAGTACCTTGCGGTTCTGCTGAGAAAATATTTCAGACCTAAATATAGAAAGCAGCATGCCCTCTATCAAAGCACCACAGAAAGGACTTGTCCTATAGGAATCAAAGACTTCTTACTCAGACTTGACTTACTCAGACTCAGGATCCCATTCTTGCTCTGGAGTCAGTATGGCCAGAAGAGGATGGACTGGGGAAAGAGGTTCTACCTCTGATTAACAGACAAGTCACTCAGTCACACCTGAATCCCCAACAACAGATGGTTTCAACCTTCTAATGGTGTCAAAATAACCAAGAAAAAGGCCTTGTTTACATACAGGGATGAGAAAAGTAATATGATAAAGTACACCCAACTCAGCGCCACAGAAAGTTCTAAAATGGTGAGAAGAACTTGCAGTCCAAGTGTACGTGCTGTTTGCTAGTAACAGCAAAAAAGTCTTCATCCTAAATTGAACAGACTGAAGCAGAGATTGAGACCTTGGATAACCAGCCCCCTCAAAATTACCATTTTCATTGTAAACTGTTGCCAGTGCAAGTAACCTACTATGGCAACTCAATTCCTTAAAGACTTCCCCACTGTTTGCTCTAAAGCCTTACTTTGTAAGCACACCCAGTCAGGAACAGCCTTTCAGCTTTTCCACATGGTCAGTACCCCACCCATTCACAGAAGTAACAGAATCAACCTTCACAGTCTCTCCTGCAGCAGCTGCCTTGAGATGCTTCTTGCTGTCTCCTCACCAGATGTGCATTGTAATTGTTCCACCAGGGATAGTACCATTGTCCTTAAATGTCAACATCTGGCAGATCTACTGCAGGGACTTAAAAAGATAAAAGCAAGTGAACATACCCCCAGGGAAGACATATCAACATAAAAAAAAGTTAGATGGTGATTGAATTTTTAGCTGTGCTCATGTTCTCTGACTCTACTGTCCTAATGCACAGCAGACACCTCGGGTGCGATGCCGGATTGGTGAGCAACTACAGGATTTTTGTTCCTGCCCACCTTTTGATTTTCACTTGGATAACAAACTTTCTTGGAAGACATAAAAGCAGGGAAACAAAGCAGTAACTCAGGTAAATACCTAAAGCTGCCTGTATTTTATGTTTCCGTTTGCTTTGTTAAAATCTAGATCTCAATGTACATGTTTAGTCTAATGTGTAATAAACATGTCACGTAGCAGTTTAATCTGTGTTTCTGGTTTACTACTCAGGGGTCTTGCACATGTGGGCATGTGCAGAGGCTTTGCCAGGGCATGCAGAGACTATTCTCCTCACTTCTGCATCAGCTAAAATCCTGTAGAGAAAGAGAGGTAGATACTCTTCTGCAGCAGCTGGTAGAAGTTCTAGAGCACAGGATGGAGCAGCCAGTCTCTGAAAAGAGGCAACTGCAGCAGTAGAACATATAGAAGACTCCTGAAATTAGAAGGAAAACCGATCAGTCAAGTGTCAATTATTCACGTAATCCCCCCCACCCTTCTCTAGGCCTAACAACTACACAGTTTGTTAGTGTAGGAAGTCCAAGAGCAACACCACACCAAAATACAGTCCAAAATGTCCTTCCAGGCTAAAGTTTGGAGAAGTAAGGATTTCAGATGAAGATCTGAATGCCAGTCTCACACAGCAGACATATTTTCTTTGTTTAATAAATATCTTGTTTAGAGTTTCAGTTCTGACAGAACGATTTTAGCTGCAAAGCACTTTTGGCATGTTCTCCTCAAGGAAAAATTGCAGGAGAAGCTACTTCAAATCTCTGAAGATCTAATGGATTTTTTACTACACAGCATGATGAACTCCACACTCAACCCTGGTTTGACAGATGACAGCATTTATGCCAGGGGGATGTTTGGTTATTCAAAAGAACACCCATTTCACCTAGACAAAAGTCATTTACCACACACAGGTGTATAAAACAGTCACAGGATTTATTGAGATAAATACAAACAGAAGGTTACATAGATTCTCTATTCCAACAAATGAATGACACTTCCAGAGTGTCTCCACTTAACTGGGATCTAAACAACACTGTGTACGGACACAACTGCCACTGGGGCAGCATCCTGACTGATGCCAAGTGCATATCATACACAAGATACCAGTGAGGCTGAGTTCTAAGCAACATGACTAACATGCTTTGGATTACAAGTGCTGGATAATTTCCTATAGCATCCAAGCAATATTGCACCCACCAGCGTTTTCATGTTCCTTAGCTAGAGATGTTTAAAAGTGAGATTCTAACAGCTGATGTGAAAGTGGTTTAACTACCTAACTTTACTGCATCTGGCTTTTAAAATTCTTATATTTGCATAATTTAAACAACCCAGAGAACTGTATGTGAACACACTGCTTCATTCATCACTGCATCCACTGGTCTAGTACAAGATGTAAAGTGCAGCCCTTAAACATGCTGAAATCATTTGGTTTAGTTCTAAACTAGAAAAGAGACAAACCTTGTAGAGGGTAAACCCGTTTAATAGACCTGTCTATTGCATACCAAAAACCCCTCACCCCAAAACTACAATGACCCCATTAGAGCATGCAACTGTAGAGTTTTAACAGAGGTTTTTAAATGCTCTACTGAAATCATATCATTTAAGCCAGACATGATTTCTGGAGCCAGAGAGGTACCAAAATACTCTTAAAACCATAGAACTTTGTTTAGCCTTTTAGTGAACTTCTATAGCTGGTGGCTTACTGCTTACACATACTCTAATTAAAAGCTCTTAGTGAACACTAACCAAACATGCTAAAAACAGATGGAAGCCTGTGTTTTCCAGTGGATTACTGCAAGGAACTGGTAACTATTTAAGAATATCTGACAAATAGAAATCTGGGTTGGGTTAATGTTCAAAGGATTTAATTTATATACAGTACATTTCAAACATACTTACATATACACACACTTAAAAAGATTGGTTCAGTGCTGAGAAATTTAATGAACTGATAATAAAAAACAGAAGTAAAACCTTGTCAGAAAGGCCTTAGAAAAGTTGAACGGTTAGAAAATACCAGTATAATGCCAGCATTAGAAAAAAGATATTAGAACTAGGAAAAAAAAAATTAACTCGAGAGGTCTTCTTGTTAAGAAACTGTAATCATAAAAAGTCTGTACTGAAGAAGCATTTGCTTTAAATTATAAAAAACCTGTAAAAAATTAAATGTAGAATGTTGCAGTTTACACTATTGCTATCCCAGCAGTGATATACTTCTGCCTGCAACTTCCAAAAGCATTTTGTGATCTCACAAGAAAACAATTTGTTACAAATACTGTACATATTATAATACAAGACTAGTTAAACTTACACAAAACTGAGCCCTCCAAAAATACAGAGCCCAGCTGAGAAACCCATTTGCTGTAGTGGCAGACAAGCCAGATTTAAAACAGAACAAAAAGGAAAACAGTAATTTATGTAAAAACCTTCACCCATGTGAACTGCTTACTAATATAATAGCGAAATTTAGGGAAATACTTACACAGGACTGTCTATAAGGTATCATGTTCACAGAGAGAAAGTAACTGTTATTACATTAAACCATTCTTTAGTATTTAAGCATTTTTGAACAGGACAAAAGTTCCAATCCACAATCTAAGAAAATAAGACTTGTTTTTTTTCAGGTCCCACATTATCTGCAGATTTGGGACAAACCAGGATCCACCAAAAAGTATCAGTTCTATAATTTTCCAACTGGTCAGAAGCTATCCAATTTCATTAACAGAACTTTAAAGTTCTACCTGTGTATTCTTCCTGCCAAAGCACCTGTTTAAACACACAGGAAAAGTCCTACTTAAGATTACAGATCTCTGAAACCTTCATTTGTCATTTGCCCCAAACCTTGCCGTACAATCAACAAGGTATAGAGCAAACTGTATCACCACCTTCCCCTGAACATTTGTTAGCTGGGCTTTTTTTTTTCCCCACAGTTTAGAGGTCCTTTTTTTTCTTAGGAATACAGTAGTGGCCAGTTTGGCATTTGAACACTGAACCAGATAAAAGGTGGTTTTGTTTTTTTTTTCCAGATGAGGTGTATGTAAAACAAACAATTTAATCCTGTAAAATTCTGTAATACCCTTCTACAGATACAGCACATGTACGGAATCCCTTAGATGAGCCGGGTTTTGACAGGGCAGGATGAGTAACTTTCGGTTTGGGAAATGTACAGTCTACCTACCACTAGGAGAGCCAGCAGTCAGGAAAACACATGTTAACACCTGTAAGGGTATAGCTCAGAAATCACAAATTAATAGAGAAGTCACAATATACAAAGAATCTTGAGCTTTCTGTGCTTTGAAAAGTATCGCATTAAATAAAAGTGAACCATGCCTTAATTCTAGCAGAATAAAATGAAATGATTTTGGAGCTCTTTTCCACAGATACAGAATTAAGTTCTTCGTTGTTTTTTCATAAAATTCAAGACTATTCACATATATACATTTTTTCAGTTAAAATGCAATATTTGAAACAATACAAAAACTACAATGAAAGTGAGGAAGGAGTATCTTCATGGAGGTTTGCTATAAACCCAGCTTTCAGGTTCTGAAACCATTTTAAGCTTATAGTAGGTTGCTCTACTACTGGAAATGTTTTGTTAATGAAATATGAATTTCAATTACACTGAAACACTGAGTATGGTGTAGAACTTCACATAAAATAATCAACTGCAGGTGAGATCAGTTATCACCCACATTTACAAAGAAACAAAAACCAAAAGGAAGTACTCATGCATGAGACAAACACACAGCCATAGATGAAATTTAGTCATGAAATGAAGACCCTAACAGTTCTAATACAACCTTTCCAGCTCAAGTAGGTAACAACCACCTTCTTATTTGTCCACATTATTCATACTAACTGTGAACATAAGGTAAATAACCATTGTTATGTCCAGCATTTACTGCAGAACACCACATTAGTTTTGTTTGTCAATGGTAGTATTGTCCATGCTACCCTGTTTTAGTTTTATGGTGGCAAAGAAGGACACATCTTGATCTCTGTCAGACTGCAGGGCTAAAATGGTCTCTTCTGCTGCTTCCAGATGAGGATTGCCAACACTTTTAAAATAAGCTAGAAGGAGAGAAGAAAGGATTTTAATCAAAGCCAGAAGAATAAACCCTAGGGCATAAGAACCCCAGAGGATGCCAAAAACATGTAGGGTAGCTTATCCAATGTATAGACTCCCTAGAAAAACCACAGGAAGCTAAGTGAGGCGACAGAGAAATATGCTGCTGCTTACTCACCTTATTAGTTACTTAAACATTTCTAAGAGAAATTCTTTTTGCTGAGACCTAAATCAAAAACGTATCAACAAGTAAAAGCAAGCTCAGGAAGCTGCCACTGTACAACGCGCTACAAAACACTCCGTACTTTATTCTAGAAAACAGGAGATCTCTGTGCATGTTCCTTCGAATAATCTGAGATCAAGTGATTTTTTTGTTGTTTTTAAAGAACTGTGGTACAGGAAATTGTAGCAGCACAAAATTACATTATCTCCTAGTACAACTGTTAGCTTAAGACTAAAATGACAAAGCAAACCATTTCAGAAAAAGGTGTAACACTCCACCTAAAGTACCCCAAATGCAATTACTGCATTGACATAAAGGTCTGAAATACATCAAAATAATCTACTGTGATATTTAAGAAAAGCATATTTGCCAAACACATGCTGGATACCCTCCAACCCAACCCTCACCAGTAACTGCAGTGCTTCTGGCTCTAAACAAGGCCGTAACTGCCCTCTAGAGGATGAAAACCCAGCTCTCTCAGATTATTGATGCCAATTTCTGGCCGTTTAAGGATGATAAACAAGTATTCTAACACAGAAAAACCATAGCACACATTCCTAAAACTAAATTTAAATGCAGTATCCCAGCTTACAATATATAATTCCATTTTCAGTAATAACCAAACCAAACAGCCTTTTAAACCAACTGATAAAGAACTGCAGTGGCAGGAAAGCCAGTATTTGTTAGATGTTAGCCCTTTGAAAGAACATTGATGACCACACCTTTCTCCAATAACGTCTGCCTTAGAGCCTTGGCCAGCAGAACCCTTACGTTTGGCACAGGATCTGAAGCAAGACTTAACAGACTAGGGAGTAAGTGTTCAACAAACTGGTCGACAGGCATACATTCTTCTTCTACTACAGCCTACAAGATAAACACAGAACAGAAGCAAGCAAGATTTATGTTAGTAATACACTATTTGCCATTCCTACCTATGCTGGCCTGCCTATTAAACATATACACCCTATGTTGGTGAAGCAAGTACAACCTTTGAAATACTGTTACAAAAACATGTCTTACTGTTCTGAAGTTCACCTGAAGATGACCCAACAAGAGCAGCTGATTTTCTCTCAGCTATATTACAGGAAATACAGTTCTCTTACTGTATCACCCTTTCAACATTCAGCCCTTACTCCTCATTGCTCCCAAAGTAAGCATTTTTGGTTTGGAGGCAGGTAAGTGGCAATAAGGAGGGAAATAGTTCTGGCACCCAACGCTCATGGGTAGTTTGAAGAGCACTTGTAAACCTTTATCCCAGCATGTCAAAGTATTACAAAACACATCTTTATTTAGGACTTAATTCTTGACTTTGCTACTGAGATAACAGAAAGTAGAAAAATCAGCTATCTCAGCTGGGGGCACAAATCAAAGCAAGGACCACAGCTTCCGAACTGGAGAACCACACGCTAGTACTGAGACCAGACCAACTCTGCCACCATTTTCTGTAAATCCAGAGTCACAGAACCCGAAAGAATGACAGCAGAAATTGTAAGCCCAAGTTTCAGTTTTGTCCACACTGCTGAAAAACCCTAAACTGGCTCCAAATTAGATATATACATAGAAACACAGAGAACATTCCAACCTGACAAATGAAGGCAAAAGCTTGTCTTCCAACCCACTTGGAGCAGTGGCGAAACCGCACCACAAGTTCATTAATGAAATTTAATCCCAGTGCATTTGCTTTGTTTGCATAGAACTTCTGTAGTATTGCTACAACCTGGGAAGCAAAGGGAAGGGGGAAATAAAAAAAAATAGAGATGAAACTTTAGTTGTAGCCCTTAAAAGGTTAATAAAAAAGCATTATTTCATCCTACAGAGGGATGGAGTATAATCAGCTGCACTCGCAGGATTTTATGAAATACTGTGCTTATTCTGGAGAAAACAAAGTATAAGCTTTTAAAAAAAGCTGTTTGTTCAAGTGAAACAAAAAATACTAAACTTAAAACAATCATTAAAATAATGCCCCTTTCTACGGCACCATGAAGAAAGAAAGAAAAAAAAAAAGATATTGAAGGCATCTTTCTCCTCATTCAGGATATCTATGGGATGATGCCATTATTATGAAGCTCATGACAAATTAAATTAACTTTGAGGGAAGGTCAGCAATTTCTTTTTTCTCCAGAACTGGGGAGAATCTCCCAAGTGTTTTATATCCTGGTTTTCATCCAGTTGCAAAACATAATAATAATTCAAATGCAATAAGCAAAGGAAGATTTTAATATCTGTGCAAGCCTGACAATTCAAAACACTTTGGAAAGTTTTCACTTTTTCCCATCCTGTTTACCATGTTTATTAAAATATATCTCTATTTGCCCTAGTTGTCTGAAAGAAAACAGTGATTTCAAGTATCCCTCTCAAGGATCATTTTCCTCATCTCCTGTCAGGAAGTGAATTAAGTCCCTACCAGTTTGAAGGAGATCCACCGGACTTCTGAAACTTTATCAGAGCAGAGAGTTAATGCAATATGCCTTAAGTAGTCATAGACATCACTGGCGTTATAGAGCTCCAGTATCAGGATCAGCTGCCTGGAACACAAAGAAAGTGGTTAACTCCAGCAAGTGCAACACCAACCTGTTCTGACTACACCACCTCTTAAACACTGGGAAGAATCATTTGGAGCCTCAAAAATGCCACAGTTACTACAAAGAACTCAAACAGTTTGTTCTTCTCTTTACTTTCTGAAAGGTGCCCACACCTATGGAAGAGGTACATGCTTTAATCCCTCAAGGAGTCCACAAGAAACTTTTACCCAAACCAGGTGCACCGATGTATCAAAATTATCCCAAATAATAACAAAAAGCTACAAACAATACAATGAGAAGTTTCTTTGCAACTTCAGACCAATATTCTTGCAAAGTAAAAGTGAAAGGTTTACTCTGGTGTAGAAATCTACAGTTCAGGAAATAGTTTATATCTTTGAACGGCACAGAATTCGTTCTAGCCACACCACTGCCAGTATGTTACCAGCAGCCTGCACAAACCAACTACAAAGCAACAGCTCTCCACTAGATGTCAGGGAACTGCCGTACAACACTCCTGCACCACCACAGTGAGATGTAGTTTGTTGTGCCAAACTATGAAGCGAGGATAAAACCTCAGTAGCCCAAACAAAGAAATGAGATAAAGATGAAGGTCAGATTTTGCCTGCAAACTATGCCTATGAACATTCTTTGAGTGCTTCAGATATCAACAGGGCTTGTAGATAAAGAACTGTGGGATATTACTTTATCTCCATTATACACAGTCGTGTGGAAACACCAAATCAATAAACTATTTTTAAAGAACACTATTTTTTTCTTTCATACATGTAAGAATGACTTTCTATATAAGGTTTCACTTACTGTTACAAAACAGTCTAGAACTAAATAAAATCTGAAACCTCACTGAATAGTATCTGCTGGATTGTCATATTTCATAAGCTGTAAGTGAACCAGCTCTCCATTTTAGTATAATTGCAGACATTTCAGTTTGTCACACCTGACTGCCACACAACTTGCCAAAAACCCCTCAAACAGTAACAAAAAAAACCAACAGATCATGGCTTTGAAGTTCAGTTCCTTAATAAAGAAGGGTTGTAAACTTTTATCTTAATTATAACAATGTGCTTTATCTTAATTATAACAATGTGCTAATACCTGAATGTAATTACCTATTTCCAGATTAGTAATACAGATTAAAAATCAGAAGTTAACCAAATTACATACTCTGCCAGCTCGTAACGAAACCTCCAGTTCCTGCTGTTATCAGTCACCACAAATTCTTGAAGTTGATAAAGATACTCTCTCCTTTTGTCTGCATGAAGTAACTAAAAGAAAAACATTACTAGTATAAAACTAGTAAAATTCCATACTTGCAGTTCTCTGCTACATTACACTATTCATACCTATGTGCATTTTCCTACTTGAAAGCAAGCTATCACTGACAAGAAGCTTACTGAAAACCATGCACAATCAGCTGAGTGCCCGGACACACAAAACTAACATCCAGAAGAGTCATGACTTCTGCAAGGATACCCAGAAAAGCACCATCTCTGGGCATAAACCCAAGCACCAAGCACTAAGGATGTGTGTGTGTTATGCAGCAACTCACCAAGATCTGTTCTCTCCCAGCCCCAAACACAAATTATTCTCCAACTTTACAGCTGGGCTGCACAAAATACTAATTCCTTCACAGGAATTAGTAACAACTAGGAACATTTACAAGCACATTTATAAAGTCTTTTCAGTCTTGATATTGTTTTGGGATACAAGACAGAAGGGACATGAGAAACCATAAAAAAAAGCACCATAGACACGCACACGCAATGGCAGTAGGTACAAAACTAAACTAGATATTGGTACTTGCACATCTCATTAAAAACACTCTCTTAATATAACAGCCAGAAAAAAATTCATCTTGAGAAATTAAATTACACTTTCCTACCTTCAGGAAGTCATACAGATGTTTAAGGACACCAATACGCACTTCATCCAGATCTTTCAAGAAACCATTGAAAATTGGCACCAGGTCAGCAGCTGTTAGCTGATCCCCCAGGATAACTGCTAGTTCATGGATGGAGAAAGCTAGCGTCCGACGTACCTTCCACTGCAAACAGCGTAAGAAGTGAAGTAGATCAGGCATCAGAACTAAAATAAACAAGCTTTTGAATTAAACCTGTGTGAGCATTGAGAGAGCAGAAGAAACAGGGCTAGTTACACAGCAGGAGAAAATTGTATTTATGAAGTCTGACTTAAAACTTGAATTTCACATTTTAAGTGCATTTAAACCCTTACATATATAACAAACTGAACAAAAAAGCCACACAGGTTTCTGATTTATCATTATTTTTTTACCTGTACATCCGAGGCCAGTGTCTCATACGTATCTTTCAGGCAGTGCCAGTTCTGCCTGCCCAGTGTCAAGGCCACCCCAGGAAGACTATATGCACAGTGTTTGGCTATTTCAGTATCAACAGTCTGGGCTCGAGCTGGGTCAGTCATTGACAAGTACTGGTCTAATAAAGGCTGAGGTATGATATCCTATAGAGAAAGACAGCAACACACACTTTAACAACAGAAAGAAAATGCACCTGTTGTGCATTCTCTTGCTACCAACCAGCTGGCAGCAAAACACAGTGGCAAGACCCACCCTCCTTTTGTGGGCCAGCTTTACCTTATTTGTCCTCATTAGGATAGAGCAGTCAGCAATGAACGGTAATTATTACTTTATTAATATTTGAATCAAGCCAAACTGAAAATGTCTTCTTTGCTGAAGATAAACAGTAAATCTAGTGACAAAATAGTACAGTCACTGCCCACTTTGGCTGCAGATTGCCTCTGTGCACCAAAAAGGCAACAGAATTTTTCTTGCTTTCCAGTTTAAAACAGGATTTTGCTGAAGTGTCCAAAGCATTCCTTCACATTCTGCAACCAATCAATTGCAAAAGATATCACTGTATTAAGCATAAAATGAACTGTATCCAGTACTCCAACAAAGCAGTTGCTATTTTAATCACCTGTAATTTTGACTTGTCTTCATCCAGTGGCGAATTATTTTCTTGCTCCTTCTTTAAAAATACACTGGTTCCTCTGTGTTGTTCCTCTGAGTCCTGTAAAAAGACACACTAACTAGTGAAATTAGACTTAAAGTGGGTTAGGATATTTCAAAGCACCACACTACAGAACAATGCAATTCAGATACAGAACAGCCTTTTACAGGCAAAGCCTTATTCAGTGTGTTTATACAAGTACAAGAAGACAGAGTTGTACACTAAGGGAAACACTATTAGGACCATAGCAGCAGCAAGGGGAACAGTAGTTAGATTTACTTCTGAAAAACCCCATGTAATTTAACACAACAAACCCAAAATTCATACAGATTTAGGTTACTTTTATTATATTCTTAACTATTTATTTTTTCTTGGCATGAATTTACATTTTATTAAGACATTTTAGCAGTTGCTCCAAGTCAGTCAGTGTCATGAAAGAAGCTTTACTTGGTTTTGATACTGCTGGAAACTCCCAAGCCTATGAAGTTACGCAGCATAATACCTCTCTCCAAATATCAACATGAAACTTCAAAGGCATTCAAAGATTTAACTTCTAAAACATACAAAAGTTCAAAAAGTTCACACACCATTTTACATTTTTGTTTCTAGACAAGAAGAGCTTTTCCTTATTTTTCATTATTAGCTCCAGCAACATTAAATACTGTGCAGACAATTCTTTTTACTCCTATCTGTACATTATAATCAAGAAGTAGTAAGCAGGAACTGTGTATGTGTCACTACCCGATTCAGCCTCTTCTCTGGCTATAAAAGACTAATTTTAGAGTCTCACCTCTTCCTGTAATGAATATTTGCTACATTTCATCTGGAAAAAAAAAAAAAAAACAAACCCAAACAAAACTACCTACAAAACTACTGCAAAAATTTAACTCTTTAAGTAATCTGTGTGCAAACAAAAATAACCCTTGATAGCTTTTCTTTTTTAATTAAAGTAGCATATGACATTTCTGAACTAGTTATGTTCAAAGGCTTTAGATCAGAAGCAGGTCGATTATGCTAGGGGCTACATGAACAGTCACAGTGCTAAAGCAGGTAAGAATTCATTTCGGACACGGAACACAACGTGTACTTACTGTGCTTTTCAGTACACAGGCAGTAGACCCATCACTGCTAGGGGCTACATGAACAGTCACAGTGCTAAAGCAGGTAAGAATTCATTTCGGACACGGAACACAACGTGTACTTACTGTGCTTTTCAGTACACAGGCAGTAGACCCATCACTGATGTTATCCTGGGAAGCAGGGGATGAAAGAGTATCCTCCTCCACCTGGCTGCAGGTAGCATCTGAAACGGTGGTTTCATCTGAAATAGTTTTGTTCTGGAGTTTGCCACTGCTTTCTTTCATTTTTTTGGTCTCATAGTCACCAACAGAATCAAACTGAGCAGCTCTGAGAGCAGCAGACAACACTTGGACCTGAGCTGTAAAAAGCAAAGGAAGACTATTTACTCTCTTCTGCACTTAAAAGCATTAAACTTGTAATTAGTTAATCTAGAAATGGTGTATTAGCAAACATTTGCTCTTAGAAAGAGGCACACTGCTCTTCCACAGAACCAACACAAATGAAGATAAATGATTTGGAGATACTAATATTTCCAGCAGAACCATTCTACTGATTTTTACTACTGAAACATATGTCCAGTAATCCCCTGTAATGAAGCATCACAGCATACTGGCTCACCTGCCATTCTTCATACTGTCAAACTTTAATAGAAATTCTTCTGTTCTATTCTTTAATTGACTCTACTGCTTGGAAAAGGCATCAATATGCATTTAAACATTTCTGAGAGAAAAACTTTATGCAGAGGAGGGAATCAGTGAATCATTTTGCAGAAGTAAATAGAAAACAAAAGGTCAGGTTTACCACTAACACCAATATTAGGACAAACTGTATTTACACGTCATGCTACACTGCTGCTAGGAACATGAAGTTAGCAAGAGTTCAGGATGGAGAAACCCTGAGGTAGCTACATCTGCACAAGCCTATGCCAAGTACAGTCTTAAGAGGGAAATACTGGAGCATACTTTAAAGATGAAGAATATTAGGTGAATTCAGCTGGTAACAGGTAGCTCTGTCCCTAAAACCACAGTACTTGGTTACCGTTTCAACAAATTTCAACAAGCTCTTTTCCCTTTTGTAGTTAGATCCAATTTATTTCTCATGTGAATGGGAGACAGGAACACTTCCCCAGCTGTTCTAAAAGGAATTCAGGTCTTGTGAAAGGCAGCTGTTGCCTAACTTTCTGCTGTAATTTACCACTGAAGGAAGTCTGATCACCTTATGAATACCAAGCCAATTAAAATGCAGTCAAAGGCTTTGTAACGGCCACAAGTAAACCTGCTCAGTGGAACTATGATTTTGCTGTTAAGAGTCTCACCTTGAACATCTGGATCATCTATGTGCTCTTGTAAGCTTTCTAGAACTTTTTTTATTTCACTACTAGCAACACAGTTATTACATGGCACTGAACAGCTGTCTTTATGCTTTTCAGTCTTGAACTGAAGCAACTCCAGATCCTGACTTATATCAGGCAGAGGAGGGCGCCAGTATAGAAAAGTATTAAATACATCCTCAGCAGACTGTAGCCTTGAGTTCATTCCAGGAAAACTGCTGTCCTTAGTGACTTCTATGACACCAGCAGCAACTCTGTCACCCTGAGACAATCGAGATGCATCTTCTCCAGGACTGGTACAACAATATGAACATTCCTTCTGTGTATCTTTATTTAGGTTCTCAATAGAGAGCTTTGCATGAACTTCAGCTGAAGTCTCTTCAGTCGATGATTCTGGTTTGATTTCCATTGGCTGTTCTGAACTGGTAACAGATAGAGAGAGTTATATCCAAACAAAACTGAAAATACTCTAACAACAGTTTTCAGTGAAATACTTCACAAAAACCAGCATCAAGTACCCAGTTTATTTTCCCTGCAAAAAGACAAAATTCGTTACAACTGTGCTTTACTTCACCAGTTTTCCCTTTAACATCCAGTGAAGCCAAAGTGAGTTTTTCAATGAAATGGCTACACTCAAATAGACACAAACGTGTCCTCACGATTCACACCTTTTCTGGAACTACGTTCTCAAATTGAGATTTTTAACCACTAAAAGCAACGAAAAGAATTATCTTTTTCTTTTCCATTACACCATATCTTTCCTTCCCATGATTTTACCTGGGCAGTGTAACATTTGTACTGGAGGACATTAAGGTTTTATTGTTGCTTGGGTGACAAGAATTGGAATTCACATCTTGCATTGACTGTTGGATACTCGGCGTTCCACCTTCTTGGATGTAAAGACCAGCACTTGAAGGGCTTGCAAAGGTAGAAATAAATGGGCCAAGAGACTGAAAAGCAGCCTGACGAACCTGTGATAGTATAAGAAAAGTCAGGATTCATGCAACTCCCACAGAGTTAATGTTGTAAATAAAATTTGGTTCCACTTTTTAGTAAGAACCAATTGGTTCTTACTAAACAAGCTCCTTGGAGGACACTTGGAGGTTCCTACTGCAACAGCTTCATTTAATACCAAAAATAACCAATACCAAGTAAGTGACACCTAAGCAAAGAGTGTTAGAATATTAAGCATGTATCTACAATCATAAAAACATTTTACGGGTTGATAAATTTGAAGGACATCACTGTCTACTTCAACTAAGATGTTTAACACAAGCAACATATTCTCAGAAGAGTGTTTATCGAGATTTTAAATAGTGAGAGGAAAAATAAGATGCTATCTTATTAGAAGAGATTAGATTTCGGTAGATTAGACTCTCATCTCAGCAAATTTAGAGAACTTTTACAGCACACTTCTGACTTGCCCATTATTTGTGTACGATCTGTGTAGGAAGATGCATCAACTATGAAGCAAGTGACTTACCCATCTGCAAGTGTCACTAATAAGACTTATAAACAGTGGGGATAGTTTGCTTCTGCGAACTTCTGGGGATGTAGTGTAGGACACTGCCATAAAGCATTCAGCACAAGCTTTTCTCATTCCCCAAACACTATCAGAACAGAGTTCAAAGAACTTGGGAATCTGCCAAAAATAAGCAAAACCAATAATTAAAAGCTAAATAAGCTGCAGCAACTTGCTATCAAGTTATTTGTTCGGAAACTGTAGACAATGACTACTCAAGAGAAAATAAGTGGAAAATAGAAGAAATAGGGACAGGTTAAAATATCAATTAATTGCAGAAAATAGAAAAACTATCTGTCTGCCACTTACTTCATGAGGATTTTATGTATAACTACATGCACTAGGGAAGAATAGAAAGAATTATTAATGGCCTATTTTTCCTGAAACTGTAACTTGACTGATCATCTAGTTCATGGCATTTCTAGTCATTCCCAATTTTGCAATATAATTGCAACTAAAGCTTTAACCAAATCAATTAAAAAAAATTGCATGTACACTGATTAATTTAGAGAGAAAATAATAAAAGAACTCATTATCAAACCTTTTGAACTGAGAAATACAAGTCCCACCAATTGATTTGATTTTTACATACCAGCAGTCTTTCTGTGGCTTCTTGCCCAACTGCATTACAAATGTCACCAAAATTAGCTGCACAAATCTAGGAAGTAAAAAAACCTCATTAATAACATTCTGTCTCTTTCAAGTGCATTAGTTTTATTATCAACTTCACCATGAATTATTTATCCCATGTAACAACTGCACATATTTGACTATTCAAATTTCAGCCATGTAACTACAGCCTGTAATATTAACTCATCCTGAACAAAGACTCATTACAGCAAGCTTCCATAAGCCACATGCCCTTGAAATCAATAGTAATGAAGGCTTCTGCATGAAGAGCATCACCTAATTCAGTAATCACTAAAAGGGACAATAAGCCTACTGGAAAGTTTACATTACTGTGAACAGCAGCTGTCAAAACCAAAGCAGACTGAATATGATACAAAGGTCAGGACTTATGTGTACTGACAGAACTATCTTTGCTATGGCTGAGACTGGCTTAACTACTTTGCTGAAGCAAAGATTAATCAAGGTCTCCAGTTTGTGCCATTTACAGCACATTACAAATGCTATAATTAAGGCAAAAGGGATGTCCCCTCATGCTGGAAAAACATGGTGCAAAATCTGAAATCAATTAAGACTGGGCTGTGTTAATATAGGATTTATTCATTCTTCTTTGGAAGGCCATAATGCAGCTCAAATTCCAGCCAGTGCAGCTTATGTTAAGGACCAAGCTGAAGCTCTGAATGACCCTTAAGTCTACTAAGTATTTTAAGACTTCTTATGCTACAAGTTTCCTTTTGTACTTGACCATGAGTTAAAGTAAAACTTACACCTTGAGGATTTCTTCTTTTAATAATACAGATTATTTATTTTAAGGAAGGATATCTCAAATATCTATTACTTTTGAATTTCTGGTTTAGCAATAAGATAGTGGAGATCAGGTAACTTGTTTGCATCCTATAAACATGCATGGTTGCTTAAAAAAAAAAAAAAAAGAAAAAGAAAAGGTTGTGCAAAACTATTAAATGTACAAGATCAGTTCAACTGCTACACCAAAGCTATTCACCAAGGACAGTTACCCATTTCTTTACTAGACAACAGAAACTATAACCATGTCAACAAAACTGCTCTTCCAGATGCTGTCAAAGTTCATCAGCTAAAGTTATGGCTGAATTATTCAGGAAGCTATTGGAACAGCAACATACAAATTCATTTTCAAGTGGTTTAGGGTTGAAAACACACCCACCTTTCGGACTTGAAACAATTTCCCATCACTGCACAGCTCACAGAAACGAGGGAGCAGCATGTGCTCAACTGTTGTTCTGCTCAACATAGAAGCCATTTTACAGATTATCTAGAAATCAAGACAGGAATATGTGTAAGGAAAAGAAAGAAATGTATAAAGCTTGTAAGCACAGGCAAATATTCCTCCTACAAATTACCTCCAAGGCAGCAACTACCATCAAGTATGTTTAACTGCTACACATTATTTGTACTGTCATACACCTGTTTGATGTGAAGCACAACTGTAGCTTTTATTTATAATTATTCTGTGCCTGATGAACATCATATTTCTGCACGTAATTCATTGTCTTTTTTATCAAGTTAAATACTTTCAATAAATACATTTTCAAGCTGTTTTACAATGTGGCAGACAGTGGTATTTTGTGCAGAGAAGACAAAAGTTCCATTGCACTAGCCAGTACCCAAAATCATAAGCTTTAAGCATATTAGAAATATCTCAAGCTTAACCATGCAAATAAGCTCCTTGGCTTTATCAGGACTATTAAGATACTTAAACAAGTACAGTCACAGCTCTTTATAGGCTTGCACAACACAATAAAACACAAATTTGCCACGCAACAGGGAAGAAAGTGGAGTGTATGACAAACTAGTTATATATGTGAGCTAATGCACTCCTTACAGGAATGATCCTCAGAAATTTTAGGAGTTACCATCGCATCATAACTAAAGTTAGTAACACGCTCATTAACTCAGCTTTCTCTGAGGAACTGTCAATTTCAACTACCATTACAAACCATGTTTCTGACGTGAAAAATCACGTGCTTTGAATTGCATGCTTCCTTTCAGCTCTCACTTTCTGGGATAACTTGCTGCCATTCTTAGATTTGCAAAAGTAAAAAGGAAGGAGCTCCCATGCACCTTTCTACTCAGCTGCTCTGTCTGTAGCACCAGAAGTTTAACACTTACAGAAGTGTTGTCAAATTAACAGTATTCATATTTAGTCTTTCTACCTCCACAAAAATAAGCTTTCTTCCTAGAAGCATTTGCCTTTGTAATAGAATGCCAAAGAAGAACTAAGGAAGACACCATTTAAGGACTCTCCTACAAATCTTCAAGCTTTTAAAATGTATCTGGTGCTCAGATGTCACCCTGGAAAATTGCCTAAGCAATACCCAACTCCCAAATAAGGAACAGGAAAATGCAGCTGGTAAAACTGCTTTACAGGTCAAGTGTCAGATACCCATGATGACATGTAATTACACTCCAGCACTTTTCTGTGGAGTCAAGTGATTTCTTGAAAGTGAACAGGGCTTGTTTTTTTTCAAATGCCTACGAATTAAGATCAGGTCATCACTTACACTTTTGCTCTACCAATTTTCACAACAATGTTTTAAATGTAAAGAAACTGTTGTAGAAGATAATCTTAAGAATTTAAACAAGGCTGCCAAGAACCAACTGCATTTTAAAGCTATTTAGTGCTCAGCACTATAAATGACTAAGAAACCTACATATTCAAGGCTTAACAGCTTAGCATACTTCAGGTTATACTGTATCACAGCAGGAGGCTCTCAATTCCCAACACAACAACTAATGAAGAGGGAAAGAATAAAACAAACCAAATTAGGAATGGTATAAAAAGTTTAAGTTCAATGATTCATATAAAGCTCTCAGGACACTAAGACTGCAAGTACAATTTTTATTTTCTGGGCTTTATGCTCATAAGTATCTCACGCAGTTGGTATATTCTAAGAGTTTCATAGTAGCACTGCTAAAAGATAAAGAACAAATGTGACCAAAAATGAAAAAAGCAAAGATGTAAGATTTCTTCCAAATTTACTTACATTCACAGCTTCCACCTTGTACTCATCATCACTGTCAGGAGCAGACAGGTCCAACAGAATTGGACACACCTTATTTTCAATGTCACTCTGAGCAACAAGATCTTGTTCTAGCAGTATAAGCAGCGCTTCTTGACCTGCCTTTCTAACCTATTAACATGAACAAACGAAAGTACATCACTATGAAAACACAGATGCAAGAACCACAAAATGCATGGTTTTCAATGAACACGCAGATACAAGTTAACAGAATAAACCACAAACAGAAAAAGCTCTCAGTTTTAACTTCATAAGGATTTAGTAATAAATACTAAAGTTTAACATAATCATTAGACGACATTTCATCAAATTCTGAGGAGAAGCTAAAAAAGACAAAGTAGAAGACAGGACTTTTAAGTCATGCCTCTTGTAACAGACTGCATCAGTATGTTGCTAGGCAAACCCTGCAAGCTTCCCATTATCTGCGAAGGAAAGTATAAAACAACCCCTCAGGCCTCTCCAGCAGAGTGTGCTGAAACCAATACAGAAAGCACTACATAAAAGCTGGGTACCAATCAACATGGAATTTTCTATTATCTCTTCCTCATGCCTTAAATTCACTGAACCACACATTTTTTCCAATGATTCAACTCATGTGGTCTGTTTTTCCTACCTGATTGTTAACATCTGTGAGGTATCTCACTACTATGGGCATAAGGTATTCAAAAAATGCTGTCGGGAATTTTGGTCGATTTTCTTGCAGAAAAATGGCAATAGGAGGTATTTGTTCCATCAGCTCTGTACGTACAGTTGGTTCTAGAAATAAAATGAAAGTCAAAACAACATCGGTAAATGTGAGGTTAAGATCAAGTATCTTACAAAAAAATGTAGCTTCTTTTTGTCTAATGTTTTCACAACAGAGGAAAATAAAATTCTCAAAACAGAAATATCACCATTAAGACTGCCTGTTCTTAAAGGAAAACTGAGTAAAATAGAGCAGCCATACATACATCACAATCCAGATACTTGGGATCCCAAATAAATCAGAAAAAACAAGAACATTAGCCAGAAAACCTAATCACCATGAATGTATTCACATGAAGTATTAAAACACACAACTATTCTGTGCCACATACACCACACATGCAGGTGTAATTAATTCCTTGAAAAATATTACTTTGGGCCCTATACCAACTAAGAGCCTTCATTTACATACCTACCAAGCAAATACCTCAAAAACAGAGAGAAAAAAACAAATAATCTCAATTTTCATGGGCAGATACTGCTGTGAAATGATTTAGTTTCTTCTTTCAAAAGAGCAAAAGTTATTGCCATTTGTATTTCAGCTAATGTAAAACAACATGATGATAACAATAATAACGACTTTCAAACCTGCATCTTCAGAGAGCCTGACCACTATTTCCATTACAGTCAGGAAGTCTTCTTCATTATTACTGAAATCTCGAAAGACATCCAAAAGACCTCTGGCAATAATTTGCCTGTGAAGGGAACAACATATTAATTGTTTCAATATCCTACCAATGACAGGTAGATAGGATGCAAGGGGAACTTATCAAATGTCAATGGGCACCATAAAGACCACCAGGCTCTTCTCTGAACATTCAGACATACCATTTTCTCAATGTCCCAACATAAAGGTGGAATCAAGAGATCTTATTCAGATAACCAAGACGGAAAACCTCCTTTTATGGAAATGTTATACAAAAGTTTTTGAAACATAAATAATATTAGGCATGTGCTTAGGAGAACAACAACAGAAGTAGTGACACTGTAACATCCACGATGCTGTCAAGAGTCGGTTATCATTAAGCTGTTGTACCCTTACCTGTTAAATATGTTATCACTGAAGGCATATTTTTCTAGACGAGCCAGTGGAGTTAAGTTGTCCTGTCCAGGAATATCCAAAAACGCAGTTATCCTCATGCTATCACAGTCTGGTCCATAATCTTCGAACCCAACTTGAAAGACAAGAACAGTAACCAAAACACAATAAAAATAAATCCAAGAGTCAGCAAGAGATGTAAAATACATCACACCAATAATTATTTCTTTTTAGAATGATTCTTCAAAGGCAAAGTATCTATACAGCATTGGAAACAGCTTACAAAAAATATAATCTTAGGTGGTTGTACTTAACCAAGTCAAGAACAACACTTCCACATAGACCTGTAAGTTCAAGCTTTGAAATTCAGTTCATTTCAACTGTCAATCTCTTTGGCTTTTAACACTTCATAATCTGACTGGACTAACCACATGCACAGAGTTAATAGGGCTCAGCTGACAAAACCACATGCCACAAACTGACCAACACATTCAAAAGGAAAGTCCTGTTAAAAGAAACTGAAATTTTAACCATGACAGAAAATCCCAAACTGTATCACTTTAAAACAGCAAATCCTTGGGTCTGTATCCAAGTTACTGGGATACATTTTCTCACTGAAGTTACCGGGCCCCATGCACCTACTGACTGGCAACTTTGGGGAAAACTTCAGCTTTGCCTTAATTGTGAATATTCTGGGAGCTTTCTACTGCAGACCTACCAACTACAGACCTTACCATGTAAACCTACTCTTTTGGAAGAGGAGGAAAAAAAAGTAAAATCCTTTTTGTATTTGCAGCTTCAGATCTTCAGACAATGAACTTTAGCTTTAAACTATATTAATATTCATTATTAAACACTTTTTATATTAAAAAAGAAAAAAAATCTCCATTGTTGAGAGATACCAAACCTCAGCTTTTTCCTACAGAAAAATTTCCTGTTTCACATACAAAGCTCTGCTTTCCAATTACTTAACATAAGCCAAAACAGTCTCAGAAATACATTTTATTTAAAGAAGAAATCATCTGAACATATTTAGAGCTAAATGTTATACCTAGATAAAGTAGATTGGTTTAACAAACCACAGAGTCTCCAAGGACTGAAAGACGAGATTAAAAAGACTACAGCAATTCTCAGTTCTGCTGTTCTTGTAGACAACATGCTCTGAACAACAAGTTAAAAAGGATGCAAATAGAAGAAAACTGTAGGATTAAAGGTTCACATTTCAATTGTTCACATAGATGCTACAAGTGAACTCACAGCTACAGGATCAGAAACATACAGCAATTATCCATGGCTTTTTGTAACTACTATGCATTGTACTGGCCCCCTTTATTTCCATTCAACTGGTCATTATTATTTCTAGTGGCTGCTCTTTAGGTAGTTTTACATTCTGTCATGTTCAAAACATTTATCTCCACAAGTGCATATGATTTTATCACTCAGATCTGCCTGGGATTGATTTGTCCACATGCTCTAGGGAAAGCTTTCCCACCGAGCATAGTATCTGAAGATACATCCAGCATTTGCTACTTCAAAGGAAGCCTAACATATCACTGGAAGCAGTTATACAGTGTACACAGGAGTGTGACTTTCCTCTCTGAGGTTGCCACAAACTCTCTGTATCCAAACCCAACTCTGACCATCCTTGTATCTATGCAACTGTGACATATTTTTGAAAATCCACACAGGTTGGACACTCTCTCACTAGCTGATTTTTGAGGCCAGCCATGTGTCATACACAGAACCATTTATTAGGGTTAAAAAAATAAAAATAAATTTACTTGCCATTAACTTTCTCTAGTGCTCACCTGCTCTTGAATTAAGAAGCAGGTTTAAAACTGCAGACTCTTACAAGTTCACTTCAAGTATTTCAGACTTCCTACCAACTCAGACAACAGTGAAGTAAATTCTAAGTCTGACTACAATACTACACCTGGGACTAATTCTGAAACATGATGAACATACTTTCATTTATTGGAGTGGTTCTATTACTGATTTGAATTAGCTAAGCACACATCAGCACTTCTTGGACCAGAGGAAAAACAGAGCAACTATTTATGCTCAGAATCAGGAGAGTTAAATACCTTAAATGTTTCCACACACTCAGTATACATAAATAACAGTCATGGCAGAAACCATTTTGTCCTCTCTCAAGAATTATAATTTTCTCTTTCTGTGCAAAAAATAAGCAGCCATAGGTACTTACAAGTGTAAGAATACACCCGAGTACTAGAAAGTAAATTATATAAATAATGAACCAGTATTTCTTATCTAACATTCTTTCACAGGCAAATCAAACATCTAGTATTTTTCCTTCTAACATCACCAAATAAGCGAAGTTGAAACCTGTTCACCTATAAATGAGAACAAATGTGACAGTATTCTCAGCTGAACTGGAGTTCACAATGCTTTAGTTTGACCTACACTCAAAAGCTGCTTAAATCCTGTGACCATGTAGGTGTTTCTTACAGGCTCTAACTATGCAATTCAGCATCATTAGCTACTACCACTATCCGCTTTTTCCAAGACAAACCAGAAATACTCGTGCAGAGTGCAATGATTTCATGAGCTCAACAGGATCATTTTCTCTCCCACTGTTTCTAGAAGGAAAAGCAATTTTAAAAATACATTTTTCTTTTCCCTCATACAAAGGGTGTAGTTTAGTTATTTTTGCAGGTGAACCAATGTCCCACCTTACAAGTTTCAAACTCAATTCATTTAGGCATATTTTACTACTGCTTTTCCCTATATTCAGATGACTCCACCAGACTATCCATTTGTTCCAATGGAATTGATTTTCAATGTGCATAACACCATTTCAGCAGTTTAGTTAAGAAAGTAAAAATCCAGTTTCAGTGATTTATTTCACTGAGGTTTTCCTAAAAGACATCATGAACTCTCTACAAAACTGGTCACCAGATTAGTACAACAGTATCCCACTCTAGATGGGACATGTGAACTCTGCTGTAACACAGTAGAAGACAGCTTTCAATAATGTAACTCTAACTACATTGTCAAAATAATGAACTTAATCACAAGGAGTATCTTAAAGTCATAAGATTTCAATAGTATTCCAAAATGCACATTTATAATGCTCATCTTGAAATTGATAATTTTTTACACAAACTTTAAGTGACCCATGTAAAAAACTTATTAATTACTGCTTATGGCAAAATTTTCTTCATCTGAATGTTTTTATTAGCTTAATGACTCAAACTTCAGTTTTGTCTACTAGCACTGAACTTCTCAATCAACTTACCACAAAAACGGTTACTAATAGAGAGCAAACACTTAAGTCATCATGATGGTCACCCCGGTTCAAGGCCAACACATAACTGAACACTACAGGAAGTTTGTGTTTATTTCTACTGCTTGCACTTTACTAACTCAGCAAATAGAACTCAAATGACACTTGTTGTGGTTGGGAGTTCTTACTACAGACAGAGGAAGATTGGACAGATCACTTGGAGTCATTCAGAAAGGCCCAATCAATTCGAATCATTAGCTGATCATTAGCACTATCAAGAGCTTTGTTTGGGATGTTTCGGTTGGGTTGGTTGTGGGTTTTTTTTGGGTGGGGGGGTACTTAGGGCAGAGGAATAAAGATGTTTTCAACTCTTAAGTAAGGTACTACAGCAACAACTGTTGCAGCTCTACTGCTAGAGAACTCACTGCAAAATAGGATTTAAGTCGGCATAAACATATTGAAATGTATAAGCTAGTGTCCTCCTCACTTCAATCCTATTCAACACATACATGCTTTTATCATCTAAGGTGACAACTTCTTACAAACTGCTTACTGCAGTAAGCAAATGTAAGAAATAACCTATAGTACCACTTTTTAAGCAATATTTTTAGTGTTAAATCCCTACATGTTAAATTAGTGTTTGAAGTACTATCGTACACTCATGTTTTTTAATTTCTAGATTTACAAACATATAACTACATTAAAAAAAGGATGCACTTTAGTTTTAAATTCATTAAGACCCACATAGTTTATCTGTGCAAGAAAAATGTTTAATGTATTTTCAAATACATAAAAATACAAACATAAAGTGAATCAAGAACTCATACACAATCTCATCATTTATACAGCACTTACATCCCAAAGATCCCAAACTTCTCTTTCTGAAACGTAATCAAAATACAAAGAACGCCTTTTTTTTTTCCTGCTGCCAACCAGTGAAATGCAGAAACCCTAAAGATTGAAAGCAACAACACGTAGGAGCAGCAACTAACAAAATCCCACAGAACAACCTGGATACAGAGGCAATGTCCCTGTGCATCCTTCCAATAGAATACTTTGGATCTCACTTGTATTCTAACACTTCCCCTGGTGTTCTTTTCCTAAAATAACTTATTCATGCCTTACACATTTTCAAGTACTATTACACAATAATGGTTTTGTGGTAAACAGTCCCTAACAAGAAACAAATTCAAGTATCAGCTTTAATTCTGTTTAATAGAAAAGTCAATCCAGCATCCAGAGCACCAATGAAACCACCCCAGATAGTCAGCTGCTTCCTGAAGCGGTACAAAGCCATAGAATTATTAGTCAAAGATTCATTTCCTTAAGTCACAGCTCTTACCAAGCTGTCTGACAGGCGGTCAGCTCTAGTTCTGTAACACAGCTCTGTGCTATACCGGCTTAGTATAGTATCTACGACCGGCACTTCAACTAAAGCTAGCTACGTGTTAGCCAACCGAGTACACACAAGGGCGGGTTTTCTTTTATTCCCGCTTCCCAGGTGCGGACGGAGCCACCTCAACAACGTCGTGCCCAGCGCCTGTGCCGCAAAGATGCGGGAACTGCAAAACTCACGGCGTCCTCAGCAGCCTCTACAGCACTTAGAAGTCTTACCCGTTTGAGCTACCACAGCTCGGAAATCCCTCGGCTGCTCTCGGCTAATTTCCACCGACAACAACAAAGGGGCTAATCCCCTGAACTACGGCGGGCCGGCCCCGGCTTCCTTCCCCACAGATCCACCACGGGCACCACCAGAAGTGCTGTTTGCACCGAATCCAGCACTTCAGCGGACACGGGAAGCAGCGAGAGTGCTCTCTGGGAAGGCCGCGGGTCCTCCTTCCCCGGCGGGACAGCAGCTGCCCCCAAAACCCCGCTTTAAGAGGCTGCCCACCCATCCTTCAGCGGCTCGAAGCGCCAGCTGAGGCGAGAGTCCGCAGCTGAGGGAGG